TTTGAGTCGGAGTCTCACTCTGTCACCCAGACTGGAGTGGATTTTTAAATACACAGAATATCAGGAAAGAAGTCAGATCCCAAAAGGCAAATGTTGCATGAATTGATTGATGTGAACCTTCTCCCCAGAAAATGGATTGTGGGAGGATGAAAGTGGGGGGCTAGTAGGGGCAGGACTTGGGGGGAGTCTGGGAGGGGAGGTGACTGCTAATGGGAGAGGAATTTCCTGAGAGGGGAGGATGAGAAAGTCCTGGAACTGAAGGTCGTCATGGTTATACAACATCGTGAATGCACTTGGTGCCACTGAATGGTTAACTTTAAAATGGTGAGATTTTTATGTATATTTTACCACACGCTTACACAAAAACAGGAAACTTTTCAGTAAGGGCACAGATATCAGAACCAGGCTCCTCAGTCATTTCTTTTCCAGGGCAGGGGAACCAGTAATCACCGGATAACTGGAAAAGATGTTTAAGACGGGAGGTCACTGAGAGTATTACAGATAACTTAAACTTGTTTTAACTGAAAACATCGATGTGTGTCAATTTGCAAATCATGTGATGTCCTCGTCCATGTTATTGCATAAATGGCACCCACAGCATGATGTCAGCCATTTAAAGACTCTCATCACAATCCATATCCTGCCATCTACACTAATTCAACAGCAACTTTTTCTGCGCTCAGATTGGAGTCATTCCAAAGCATCCCACGTGGTTTACTCAGAAACAACCCTTTCTCTTTGCTCCTGGACATAACTCATCTGGGTGGGAACAGTGTCTGGGAATTCAGTGCCGTTGCTTTGGGGCCGGGGATCTGCAGCCGGCTGACCACACAGCGCCGGCTGACGGGAGACTGAGTTAAGTGGTGGTGAGTGGGTTAATGGCCATCTAGTGTAAAATCATCCTCATTTGCAAAAACTTTACAGTCGTGTTTCAGAATCATCCCAAATGTGTTGTTTTCTCAGGGCACCTGAGAGGGACTTAGGACAGGGCGGCAAGTGGCAACTGGCCTTACCCGCGTGGATCCGGACCTTTGCATTCTCGCTAGGCCTCTTCTCCTCCCCGTGGCGTAGGCTGTGGTCGTGGCGGCGAATCCTGCACAGGCCTCTTTGACAGGGTCGCCTGGGTATGGTCCTGGCAGGGCTCTGGGCCTCCTGGGGGTGGGGGAAGCGGTGGAGGTAAGGCGAATGGGGAAGCGATTCAGAGCCCCTCCCCCTGGCCGCTGTTCTCCCCAGAAGCTGGGTGGCAGCTGATTGGGAGCCCACGTGGCCCTTGCCGAGACACATCCTGGGTCCGGCCCTCCCCCAACCTGCTGTATGCACCGCGATGTGAACTCCGCGCTGGCTTCGTGGTGGCTCGCTAGCCACGTCGTGTGCTTGTCCCTGTGTATTGCAGAAATGTGGACGCCATCTTACAGAGGACAGAATGAGGGTCCTGAAAGATGTGACTAATTTCAGAGGACTTTGAGAGGGATCTTTGCATAAGCAGCTTTGAAACAGAGCCCTGGAGAGGTTTGCAGAGTAGAAAACTGCCTCCAACACCAGTGCAGGGTCTCTTCTTTTCAAATGTACTGGGGACTCTTGTGGCTGTCCTCACCCTGAAAGTGTTGCTGAAGCAGGGAACTTGTCCCTGCCTGCTGTTGAAACTAGGCTGTGCATGTGGTCAAAATCAGCCTCAGTCTAAAGCCACACATCTGTGCAGAGTGATACTTAAGAGTTCTAGCTTTGCCAAGCTTCCTCAGAGAATTCTTGCTCCCTGGGTGGTAAGAGCCTGGGCCTAGGGGTAGCTCCTGCAGTCCTGGGTCCTGCTGTCTGAGGTGCTGGTGGCTTTGAGCTGCTGTGCCACATGGAGGGGCACATCATTCTATCATACCAGCTCTACACGAAGATTTCCTGATAATTTTTCTCTCACAGCAGAAAAACGTTTCACGATTCTGTTTTCTAATGTTCACCTCTGCTTCATTTTCTTGTTAAGTAGGTGTTTCTTTTGTAATAAAAGCATCTCTGCAGCAGTTTTCCTTTGAATAGATTCAAACAACTTTGTTTCTCACAGCAAATGAAGGACTCATTCTTGGAATATATCTTCTCATCAAATCCTTAGAATTTGTACATATACCCATGGGAACTGGGTCTGTTCATGAGAACCACCATGAGGGTTCCTATACTGAGGAAAGACCCTTCTCCCTAGGTGAGCATCTGAACAAGTAGAAATCAGGGGCTGCAGTGCAGATTCACAGATTTGGCTGCCTGTTTCTTAGGGGTTTGTTCTTCCTCTCTAAGGTAAAGTCCCCATATCTACTAGGCCTAACTTCTAGTAGGTGCTCAGCAGACAATGGTGCATTCATATGTGTATATTCACATGGGATAGAGGTCAGGAGAGTGTGTACACAGATTAGCAGTTGTTGTTTCCAGTGATGAGCTTTTGAGAGATTGTGCTTGCATTAAAAATTTTTCTTTCAATGATCAGGCAGTAGGTAATCTTTAAAAACAAAGCCAAACAATAAGATGGAGGAATATTTAAATACAAACACCATCAGCAAAAGATGCAAGTAAAATTTGCAATGTGTATGATAAAGGATCACTATGCTTAGCAGAAAAATAACGCCTACAAATGATGACAAAACGATGAACATCTCAATTGGAAAAAATGGGCAAAGCAGTAAGGGGCAACTCACAAATCAATAGCCAATAAGCACATGAAAAACATTATTAGAAATTAAAGAAATAAGAAACAATCAAATATGAGATACTGTTTTTACACTGAGAAAAGCCCCCAAACAATGAATGTTTGTGTGTATGTTGTGATGAGAATCCCATTTCAGTTGTTTTCCAATGTATAAAGCCAATTGTGCCAGCACAGTCATCAACAGTACTAACATTTGACTGGGCTTGCTAGGTCCCACTTTGTCCTAAATTGGATTTCTCTCTGTGCACTACTGTGTTCCTGAGTCTGAGATCCAATTCCAGACCATGCTGACTGTGCTGCAATAAGTTGACATTTCTTTATCTTTGCAAATGCCTCTCTTGTGACATCTGCTCATCTGTATTAACTTTAGAATCATCTTGAGATAGAATCATCAAGTTCCACCAAAAAAATGAAAAAGAAATAAAATAAAAGTCCCTGGAGATTTTGAGTGAAACTGAACTGAATCTGCAAATGTCTTTGTAGAAACTCAATATCTTTAATCTGTTGAGGCATGATCTCTCATGGAGTCAGGTCTTTTTAGATGACTTTTTAAATATAAATTTTCTCTATAGCTTTTCGTATCTGATAATATATTTACTCCTAAACATTTTACATTTTATAAAATGTAAAAGATATAGTTTTTGAAATTCATTTTCCAGCTGATTGTTACTAGTATATAAGAATGCAATTATGAATGTTGATTTTCTTACCCAGGAACTTTATTAAACTCTATTAATAATTTTAATAATATATCTATGTGGTAGTTTGCTAGCGCTGCCATAACAAAAGACCACAGATCAAGTGATTTAAACAACAGAAATATGTTTCTCACAGTTTGGGACACTAGAAGTCCAAAGTCAAGGTGTTGGCAGGATTGGTTTCTAATGAGGTCTCTCTCCTTGGCTTGCAGGTGGCTAACTTTTCCCTATGTCTTCATGTGGTTGTACCTTTGTGCGTGCATCCATCTGGTGTCTCTCCCTGTGTATTCAAATTTTCTCTTCTTATAAAGATACCAGTCAGATTCAATTAGGACCCACTCCAAGGGCATCATTTTAACTTAATCATCTGTTTAAATCATCTCCAAATATACTCATATTCTGGTGTACTTTAGGACTTCGGCATATGCATTTGAAGGGGTGGGGAGACATACTTCAGCCCATAATAACCTACAAATTTTCTATGCACAACAGTGGTTCTCAAAGTGTGGGTACTGGGGCAGCAGCACTAGGGTACCTGGGGACTTGTTAGAAATACAAATTGTCCAGGCACACTCTACACCCACTGAACTGTGGGTGCAGATCTACAAGTCCTACAGATGGTGAATAACAGACTAAAAGTTTGAGAACCACCCATGGTACGGTCATATAGCCTGCTATTAATGACTTCTTCTTTTCCATTTCAGTCTTTATGTCTTTATCTGTGCTGCTGTAATAAAATATCAGACTGGATAATTATAAAGAACAGGAAGTCCAGGATCAAGGCACTGGCATTTGGTGACTGGTGAGGGCCTTCTTCCTGCATCTTTTTTTTTTTTTTTTTTTCACAGAGAGGCCACATTTTTTATTGATAACTCAATCTCTACATACAAACAGTATTGCACAAATTATAAGTGGATCAACAATTATATTACTGATACAAACTCATAAGAATTCACATAAAACTACCGCTCTAGGTTTTGGTGCATTTTGTGGCAGCTACTTTAGTAAATAAAACAAACATAAAGGAACTCAGCTACTTGAATTCATGAGAATCAGCTTTCAAAAAAAGCATACAGGTCATCTCATAGAATTAAAAATGTCAAATCCAGGAAAATCAATAACTGACAAAAGGAGCACTTTTAAAGAAAAGCTGGTGATAAAAATGTGAGCTTAAAAATCATTTAAAAATTTTAGCAACTGGACTTAGGAACCAGAAAGTGTGCACATATTGGCAATTTTAGGACAAGTCCCCCATGTTCTCCATCATAATTACGACTAAATTCCAAAAGAGTAATTCTGGGTTGCTACAATGTCGTCTCTGCTATAAACCATTGTTTCAAAGTTTGAAGAAACAAGATGGTAATTCACATAAAAGGGTTTTAAAATAAGATTTTTCCTATTCAAAATAAAACTAATATAATCCCCCCCAAATTACAAAGAAATTCTATCAAAATGTTGACCAAAGAAGCCAGACCACTGCTCGCTGTCACTGACTGCTCCAGGGGGCAGAGCACATGTGCCACCTATGAGGAAGGGAGATGGGCAGAGTCCCAGCTCCCTAACTTGTGCACTGAGGGAGGACAAAAGCCCTTCGACCTCCCTGGGGTTTTGTGTCCTCACATACAGAATTGGGGGAGCAAGGTTAGATGGCTTTTAAGAAATTCTTCAACTAAAACAATCCAAATCATCTTGAGATCCCATCTTTGAGCAGACAGGGTGGCAGAAGAAATGGATTAAAAACCAGCTGGATAAAGTATTTCTCACCTTTTGATACCATCACTCAGAACTCAGTTCTACACTACAGTTCAAGGAAATCTTCACCCAGCCGTTAAAGGGTATGTGGTATGCAAGTGAGGCATCTGACAATGAAATGTTTGCTCAAGACATAAAAAGGCCATGCCAAGTTTGGGTGGAAAAACAGTGTACCTGCATGTTACTGCACCAGCAGTCAGGATTTTCTACCTCTGAAACTTAGGCGTCACCAGTCCAGTTGAGAAAAATGTTGAGAAAGACGCACATTCAAGCCACTCCACAGCGCTCCAACGGGTGCACACCTATTATTCTATTTGCTGAATGGATGAACAGGTGCTCGGGAGGCAACTTCAATGAAACTGGTTCTACTAAGAAAGGATGCGGAGAGTGAAATGATCCAAAAGGAGCAATGGCTTCTCATTTTCTGTCCCCTACAGAGAATACAAATACCATTTCTTCTGGAATCCACCACACTGGCTTCATTTTCAAAATGCATCACTTTATTTTCTTTGCAAGACAGCCACATATTAAGCACGTGGCAGTCGCTTGGTTTCTTCAGTAAACCCAAAGGCCTCTTCGAGCTGCCCTGGGGCTTATGGCCAGAAGTCCTGAGGTTTCAAATATTAAAGCTTTCTCCACAGCCACAAGTTCCTTTGATGTTTGGGTTATTGAACACAAATTCACTGGATAATTTGTCTTCAACATAGTCCATTTCTGTTCCTAAAAGTGTTAGCTGTGCTTTCTTTTCGATGAACACTCTGACTCCATCTTGAACAACTTCTTCATCAGAATCTCCTTTTGTCTTTGTATATTCCAGAGTATAAGAAAGGCCATTACAGCCCCTGGTTCGGACACCGACTTTTACACCTACGTGCTCAGGCTTATCTTTAAGAAGTTGTTTTATCTTGTTTACTGCTGAAGGTGTCAGGGTGAGGGCGGCCCGGGTGGGCTGCAGCTTCCTCTTGCTCACAGCCCGGACGGTTGCCCGGACGAGGGAGGCCGACATGGTCACCGTGCCGGCGCCCCCGTGCCTCGGGCCGGAGCTCGGCGCCCTCAGCCTCTCTCCGTGGACACGGCGGGCGCCCTTCCTGCATCTTTATGCTCAGGAAGCTCAGAGAAGCAAACCTATTCCCTCAAGCCCTTTTATAGTGGCCCTTATCCCAGCTCTGAGGGCTCTGTCCTCATTACTTAATCACTTCCTGAAGGCTCTACCTTTTAACACTATCACAAATTCATAAGTTTAGTTTCAACACATTAATTTCAGGGGACGTTTTAGACCATAGCACCTACTTTATTTTTCTTCCCTTAACGGACTGGCTATGCCCTTCAGTATAATGATGAAACAAGCGTTAATGGCAAGCCTTCTTGTGATTTGGTTTCAAAGGGTGTGTTTTCAGTGTTTTACCATCAACAATGCTATTTGCTGTGAGTTTTTTTAATCAGTGCTCTTGCATGTTAGGGGGTTTCCTTTTATTCAAAGTTCCTAAGACTTTTACATTTTTGTTTTAAAGGATATTTAGGCTGTTTTATTATCTTACTACAATTAATGTGTCTAAATTTTCTAGATAGATGTATAATTCTCACAAGAATAATCTTGTGAGAATGTCTTGGCCAGATGCAGTGACTTACGCCATAATCCCAGCACTTTGGGAGGCTGAGGCAGGAAGACTGCTTGTGCCCAGGAGTTCGAGACCAGCCTAGACAACATAGTGAGACCTCATCTCCACAAAAAACTTTTTAAAAATTAGCCAGGCATGGTGGCATGCGACTGTAGTCCCAGCTTCTCAGGAAGCTGAGGTAGAAGAATTTGAGCCCAGGAGGTTGAAGATGCAGCGAGCTATTGTCATGTCACTACACTCCAGCCTGGGCAACAGAGACCTTCACTAAAAAAAAAAAAGTATCTGTAATATAAATATAATATAGTCATGAATTACTAAAGAACATATGTACCTTCAATTTTGATAAATATTACTAAATGTCTATTCATTGTGGCTGCACTATTTTTCTATTACAAAATTTCTTTAAAAAATTTTTTTAGATACGGGGTCACGTGCAGGTTTGTTACATGGGTATATTGTATAATGGTAAGGCTTGGGCTCCTGTTGAGCCCATCACCAGTGATGGGCATGGTGCCCAGTGGGCAGATTTTCAACACTTACCCATCTCCCTCTCCCCTCTTTAGGAGTGCTCCATTGTCTGTTGTCTTGTGTATTCGGTGTTTAGCTCCCACTTACTAGGGAGAACATTTGGTATTCAATGTTCTGTTTCTGTGATAATTCACATAGGATGATGGTCTCCAGCTGCATCAGACATGACTTTTTGTTTTCTAATAACTGCATAGTATTATATGGTGTATGTGTACCACATCTTCTTTATCTAGTCCACTTTTGATAGGCACCTAAGTTGGATCCATGTTTTTGCTATTATGATGCTGTGCTAAACACGCAAGTGCATGTTTTTTGGTAGAGTGATTTGGGTATATATCCAGTAGTGGGGGTGCTGGGTCAAATGTAAGTTTATTTCTAGTTCTTGGAGATATCTCTAAACTGGTTTCCACAGGGGCTGACCTAATTTACATCTATTGTTTTTTGATTTTTTAATGAAAGTCATTCTGACTGGTATGAGATGGCATTCCATTGTGGTTTTGATTTGCATTTCTTGGATGATTAGTGATGTTTAACTTTTTAAAATATGTTTGTTGGCTGCTCATTTGTCTTCCTTTGAAAAGTATCTGTTCATGTCCTTTGCCCACTTTTTAATAGGGTTATTAGTTTTTTTCCTGTCAATTTGTTTGAATTCTTTGTAGATTCTGGATATTAGTCCTTTTGTGGATCCGTAGTTTCAAGTTGCAGACTTTTTAAAAACAATCATTTTTAAAAATCACATTTACGTTCAGGCGTGGTGGCTCATGCCTATAATCCCAGCACTTTGGGAGGCAAAGGTGAGAATATTTCTTGAGCTCAGGAATTTGAGACCAGACTGAACAGCACAGTGAGACCTCATCTCCACAAAAAAAATTTTTTTTTAATTAGCCAGACGTGGTGGCATACCCTGTAGTCCTTGCTACTTGGAGGCTGAGGTGGAAGGATTTACTGAGCTGAGGAAGTCGTGGTTGTGGTGAAATGTGATTGTGACACTGTACTCCAATCTGGGTAACAGAGTGAGAGCCCCTACTCGAAAAACAAAAATTCAAATTGTGTCAAATGCTCTTCTTCTGTTGAGATGATCATAATTTTCCTTTGGTCTTTCAATATAATGAATTACATTAATGACTTTCTAATGTTAAGCAAAAATTGAATCTTGTATAAACTCTACCCGTTACAATGTATTATGTTTTCTCTATATCACTGCATGTGGTTTGTTACTTTTGGATTTATGATTCAATATCTGTTTGTGTGTAAGATTGGCCTGTAATTTTTATTTATTGAATTATTCTTGTTAAGCTTGGGATCAAGATTATGCTAGCCTTATAAAAATGATTTAAAGACATTCCCCTTTCTCTTCTCTACATTTGTGTAAAATTGGAAATCTGTAATTCCTCAGACAGTGACAGAAATCACTTTTTAAACATCTAAACCTAGGTAGCCTTTGTGGGAAGAATTTTTAAAACTTGTCCTTATTTATTATTTTTATATATAATTTACATACGGAGAAATGGACAATCTTAAATCATTCATCAGTTTAATGAAAAGGTATCAAGATACAGAACATTCCCAGAAAGCTCTTAACTGCGCTGCCACCACTGCTCAGAGCAACTTATGGTCTGATTTCTACGCCATATGTTAGTTTTGCCTAATGTAGAATTATTATCAATAGAACCATATTGTATATACTTTTGTGTCTGGCTTCTTTCACAATTAAGACTCATCCATGTTATTGCATGTGTCATTAGTTTATTTCTTTTCATGGTCAAGTGGTAGTTCATTTTATGAATATACCAGTTTTTTTTTTTCCTTTTTAGCTATTCTTCTATAGGTAGACATCTGGGCTGATTCCATGTGTTGGCTATTATGAATAAAGGACTACAAATATTCCTACATAAAGCTTTTTACGGACATATGTCTTCATTTCATTCCAATAACTACAGTAGTCCCCCTTATCTGAGGTTTTGTTTTCCACAGTTTCAGTTACCTTCAATCACAGTCCTGAGGTATTAAATGGAAAATTTAAGCAATAAAAACTCCTAAGTTTTAAATTGTGCTGTGTTCTGAGTAGCATGATGAAATCTTGTGCCATCCTACTCTACCCTACCCAGGTTGTGAATCATCCCTTTATTCCAATACATACACACTGTGTACACTACCTGCCCTATACAATGTGATTGTATGTATGTGAGGTCTGACAAGTTTGCAAACTTGCCACTGTGCGTTTACATTGATTGCACTGTATAAAAACTCGGTAAGATTTCATAACCTTGGCTTATCAGTGTCTCATAGCTGTGTCCATGCCAACATGTGGTAGTGTCTTGCTGAGTGACATTTATTATTGTTGTGGCATGTTTTTGTGTGTAGTCCCGAGAATGTCAGAGCTTGAATTAGAGCAACGGCAAACATTAAATTTCTTGTTAAGCTTGGCACGAATGGAAGTCAGATCAGGGACATGTTAGTCCAAGTTTATGGGGACCATGCCATGAAGAAAATGGCAGCATACAAATGGATTAAATGTTTTTCTGAGGGAAAAGAAAGCATCACTGATGAAAAGAGGTCAGGCAGATATAACAAGCAAAACTGATGAAAACATTGTAAAAATCCATTGAATTGTGTGTCAAAATCGTTGTCTGACTGTGAGAAGTGTAGCAGACCAAATAAACATTGATAGAGAGATGGTTAACTGAAAATCTTGGCGTAAGAAAAGTATGTGCAAAAATGACCCTGAAGGAGCTCTTGCATCACGATAAGGTACCAGCTCACACAGCACTGTCTGTGAGGGAGTTTTTAGCTAGTAAACCAAAACCTGTATTGGAACACCCTCCTTACTCACCTGATCTGGCCTCTAGTGACTTTTTTCTTTACCCAAAGATAAAGGAAATATTGACAGAAAGACATTTTGATGACATTCAGGGCACCAATGGTAATGCAACAGCTCTGATAGCCATTCCAGAAAAAGAGTTCAAAAGTTGCTTTCACAGGTGGACTAGGCACTAACACTAGCTTCCTTAGGGGAGTTCTTCGAAGGTAATAGTAGTGATATACAACATAGAGGTATGTAGTACTTTTTCTAGAACAAGTTCATGAACTTAATTGTCATACCTCATAGGAAAAAACATGATGCATATATGGTTTGTTGCTCTCCCAATTTTCAGGCATCCACTGTGGTCTTAGAACTTATGGGGAGACCACTGTACCTAGGAGTGCAATAGCTGGGTCAAGTTTAATATTTTAAGAAACTAAAATAGTTTTTCAATGAATGAGTTTCAGGTGCTCCAAATTCCCTCCAGCCATGTGTTGCTAGTCTTTTTAATTTTAGCAATTCTGGTGTGTGTGTACAGGTGTCTTAATTTAATTTGTATTTCCCTGATGAATTGTGATGTTGACCATGATGTCATGTGCTTTTTGGCCATTAGTATTTCTTCTTTCGTGAAGTGTTTATTCAAATTATTTTTCAATTTCCAATTGGTTTGTAAAAGTCCTTCATGTATTCTGGATACAATTCTTTTGCCAGCTATGTATATTGCAGATAAATTCTCCAAGGCTGTGGCTTGACTTTAGTTGCTTAATTTTTTTGAAGTCCAGTTTGTCAATTTTTTGCTGTTATAGTTAGTTCTTTTTGTGACCTAAGAAATCTTTGCATATTCTAAGTTTGTGAAGATATTCTCCTTTAATACCTGTAAGACCTATAGTTATTTCCTTTCTTTTTTCTATTGTTAATTTATATTTTCTCTTTTGTAGGGATTGCTTACTCTAGCTAGCTGATTATCAGTTTTATTGATATCGTCAAAGCTTTTTGCTTCCTTTATTTCCTCTGCTGTTTGTCCATTTTCTATTTCGTTGCTCTGCATTTATCTTTATTATTTTCTTCTACATAATTTGGGCTTGGTTTGCTCTCGTTTTTCCAATTTCTTAAGGTGGAAGTTGAGATCA